CGATATGTATCGTGGTTGGTGTATCGCGATATTTCGGTTCGGTTTGTAATATCGTTACACCCCTAAAAATTAAGTTCTGGTAATAACTATCCTATCTTGAATCTAAAAAAGGGGAAGTTGAGTCAAACTGATTTTGCTACTGTTGTGTGTGTCTGTGTGTGTGTGTAAGTGTAACTGTGGGTTATTGTATGTGTAATTTCAGTAAAATTGCCGGCTATAAACTCAAGGTTTTGTCTCTGGTCTACTTATCCATTGTTTAAGCTATTCAAACCACTCCTTCCGAACCTAGAACTGGTCCAGTAGCTTATGTTCCCTGTTTTTCAGTGACACAAGCATTACACACACATTAAATGTATCTCTGTACTTTTTTTCCCCTGCTGCTACATGAAAATTAATTTCCCACTGGGACATATAAAGTACCTGATCTTAAAACAACATTATGATTTTGGTTATAGTCATGCACAGTAAATTTAAAAGATTTCTGTTGTAAATTATACCATTTTACTATGCACATATAATTTCCTTGTAGATTGTGGCGGAGGGTGGCTGATTGGCTGCGCCTACCTGCACATCCCCAACTGGTCGTTTAACGGGTTTCCACCCCATAAAAGGATGTATGGCGTATTGATCAGGAAGCTCCACCCTATCCGTTTTCCCCTGGTAGTAAATCTGCAGTGCATACAATGGGACATCTGAATGGCTTCAGTGGCAGTAGTGCTGGTGACCATTTTACAGTTCTTCACAGTTCAGCTTTTAGCGGCAAGTGCTGCTGCTTTGAAACCTCTAATTCTGGGATAGTTATAGCTGCAAGCGGGGGTGGGGTGGGTTAGTTGATCTAAGTTTCAGCCTTGGAGTGGCCAGGACTTATCACAGCTGTTTTTGCCTATGATGTTGTTGGTGTGGATTCATTCCATTCCAGATGCCTCTTCAGCTGGAGATTATGTCGTCCACTTTGGAGAATTGCCGTGCTATCTTACTGTCTTTCCTTAGTTCCCGGATTGTACTTTTGAAGCGATGGGGACTATAATTTGATTAGTGTCCTGTTAATTCCCCTGTGAGGGTGATCTGCCTTGTACTTGTTGTGTTTTCGTTGTTTGTGTATAGTTAACTTCTTAAACTGACCTGCGGTTTTGTCTCTCACCAGGTACGGGGGCATGAAATGTGGGGAGGCTGGTGCTCTGGATCTCACACTGTGCCTGACTGCTAAGTGTATGTGTGTGTGTGGGAACACTGGCAACACCAACACAACCCTCAGCAACCTTCAGGGTCTAGTCACGGAAGGTCTCCCACATCACATTAGTCGTCATTCGCACCCAAGACTGCAAGTTCCTCACCGAAACTGTGCGAAAACTCATCAGAAATGGCTTGATCTTGTAGTCTGGCCAAGTCCACCCTCATTCTCCTAGTAGGTGGTAGCCTACTGGATCCGAGCTGAATCTTAAAAATAGCAACAAGAAGTCTGTGGTCATAATTCTCAAACTGGGCACTTCTGTAGACCCTGCAGTTTTGCAAGAGCCTCCAGCGTCTTCCCACGAGGATGTGATCGCATCACCAGTACTGAAGTACCAAGTCCAATGATGCAGCTCAGGGCGTTGGAACCAGTAAAATGTCTCCCTCAATGAGACATTACTCACTGTGGTCAGGCAGACACTGAGACAACAGACAAGACATCAAAGGAGTGCCACCCTGGATGTACAGCCTCAAACTGGGACCCAAGTGTCGCCATGCAACAGACACCTCAGCACCACACCGGCCCCGATCCCCAACAGACTTGACCCTACTAACTCTCCGACGGTTTCGACTCTTCCAGGGATGAGGCTCCCAAAGGCTTTCCCCCATCCCCTTCATGATGTGTGCCAGGTTGTTGATTGAACACCAACTGACAGTTTGCTGACCTCGTCCATGTAAGCAGACTCCTCAGCATTGCATATCAGTCCTGCCACACTGGTGTCATCTGCAAACTTGATGATTTTATTTGTTCTGTGTGTTGGTATGCAATCCTGGGTATATAGGGAGTAAAGAAGAGGGCTAAGCACGCAGCCCTGTAGAGCTCCAGTGCTGTGTCAGGGTTGGGCAGTGGTGAGTCCCCAGCCTAACAGTCTGCGTTCGGTTTGTTAGGAAGTCCTTGGTCCATCTGCGTGTCTGCTGACTGACACCCAGGTTGAGCAGTTTGGTTACCATTCTACTTTGGATGATTGTGTTATAGGCGGAGCCAAGGTCCCCAAATAACATGGTCGTTTATGTCCCCTGGTCTTCTAAGTAAGTCAGCACATTATCGAGAGCTGTATTGGTGGCATCTTCCCATAGGCAAATTGGTGCAGTTCCGGGGTGGATGGAAGTGAAGATTTAATGTGCCTTAGGATCAGCTTCTCAAAGCACTTCATTATAGTGGGGGTGAAAGCTACAGGTCTGTAGTCATTAAAGCTGATGATTGCTGTCTTCTTTGGAACAGGCACAATGGTGGCAGACTTAAGGTGTTTGAGGACAATACATTGTGACGGGTTAAAGATGTTGCTGAACACCTCTGCCAGCTGATCTGTGCTGTCCCTGAGTGCCCGACCTGGAATTTCATCTGGGCCAGCGGCTTTCCTTGGGTTGACACTGCGGAATACTCTTCTGACATCTTTAGGGTTAACAGTAAATGCCATACTGTTAAAAACTGGTGCTGGTGCTGNCATTTCACCCAGGTCCACAGCAACTTTTCACGGGACTTTCCTGAAGGTAGCAATCTACGAAAGGAGAAGATAATGTGAAGATAATGTCTGAAAATGTCTGCTTTGTTTGGGTCTACATACCTCTGTGAGTCAGCCTTTTCTGACATGAATGTCATAAAATCAAAGCTCAGAACAAGACTGACAGATGAACATTTAAATGACTCCATAAGAGTGAACCTAAGTGGCTACACTCCACCATACACCTCTCTTGTTGACTCCATTCAGTGCCAGTCATCGCACTAACTGAAAAAGACTAAATACATGTCACACATACAACTGGACATGTGAATACTTTTGTGAAGTGGTACAGTGACATGTGGATAACTAACAATATCTGTGTATTTGTAATTGCATTGTTTCGACAGCATTCAAATTTCAGTTAATGTGAGACACTAGAAAGAAATGCATACAGAAATACAAAATGCAGATGCAGGTTAACTAAATATTTTTTGTGTTTAAATACAAAATGTGAGTTGTGGACGCCAACATTTAGATAATGTTCAGGTAAATAAGCTTATTCAGTTTGTTTGGGTTGAAATAAGCTATGAGAATAAATGTTACAAAACTGAGTAGCTCTTGGCCATTTTCATTTTGTAAAAGTAGCTCTCAGAGGTAAAAAGGTTGGAGACCCCTGGCCTAGGGAATACCATAACACTGCAGGACTAACCATCACTGATCTTTTGAGGGAAATATTAGAAAAGATTTCCCCGTCCAAAGACCCGCAACTCACAGAGGATGTGCGACAAAACCTCCTGCAGCTGAGGAGCGGGGTGGTCGAGGCTATGCTCAGGCGGGTAGTCCTGGACTGTGGGCTGCCTTATGCCCCACTGACAGAACAGCCTGAACTGTCCCCAGCGCCATCCGAAAATGTATGCAAAAAGAAGAAGCGGAAGGATCGCAATGTGCCCGTTTGCTCTGCTCTTCCATTCACCTGTAAAAGGCAAAATATGATGCATTAACAGGGAACAAAAAATACTATGTAAATTAGTTTTAGCAGATGCAGGACCATATAGTGTAGACTAATACAAATGGGAAAATGTACTGTGAAGGACCTGAGATGTCTGAGTATTAGAAATGAGATCTTGAACCCCTGTTCCCCCATTCCCTTTTCCAGCATTTATACTGATAGAGGAGACAGGGAAGTTGCTCCTTAGTGTAAAAGATAAGAGGTGGTTATAAGTCTCAGTGCACTTCCATCAGGTCTGTGCTGAGTTTGTCAGATCTACCCAACATCATCAACTTCTCAGTTCCAGAATGGCTTTTATAAATGTGTATTTTGCATTGAGGCCGGCCATATGACAAAGTGAAGAGTTTATTATTAGTTTTAGTTGACACATTATTTAAAGTGAGATGAGTATCTTATCAGGCATGGTCTTACCTTCTGAGACTGCTCTCGGAAAATGCAGAGACCCAGTTTTTCGGCTCCGAACGGGTACCGTTCCACACACCAGCCGGAAGAGCATTGCACTGATGGACATGACGGTGAACATGGCATCCAGATCAAGCTGTGCTGCTCCTATAAATCAGAAATAATGAATGAGATGAATGAATGAGATGAGTGAGAGAAGATGCCACAGACACTGATAAACTCACTTTACATCTCACTATTTTACAGAAAGCAAACAGAGTAAAAAGGAGCGATATTTCTGTAAAGATTAACATCTTTTTTCACTAACCACAGTATTTTGGATCGGGGCTGTCTTTCCGAAAACTCCCACATCCAAAGTCTATCAGCTTAACCTGCAGAGATTATGTCTGAATAAGGAGGTTTTGAGCCTGGATGTCCCCGTGCCGGACGCCCCGATCCTCACAGTGAAAGAGGGCCAGCAGCAGCTGTAGCAGCACCAGCTGTGCCACCTCCTC